TCCCCAACCCAGGTGCAGGACCTGCAGAACAAAGCATTTGGAAAATGCAGCTATCATTGACATAAAGGAAAGACAAGTCTGTGCATCAACCTTTGGCTTTAATGTAAGAGATGAAAGAGCATCCTAGGAAGTGACAGCAGAGGTAGAAACTCCGGGAATCGAGATCACAAAGTAGCAGTAACAGCAGGGAGTGCTGCACTCTACCAAATACACTTGCTTCTTTCAACCTGGGAGATGAAGTTCGGATACAGCTGCGTTGGGAGGCAAACTTGTGAAGCTGATTGCTAATGTCACCTCTTTGATTTTTGGAAGAAAGGTGCCATTTAACCGGCATTTTCCAGGAATCCTTTTTAAGCACTTTGAGCTCAATGATTCCACCACTAAAGCAGATGTATGCAGGCACGGAGACCTGCTGGTGTGGAATGAGCCGTGCCTGTACTGTCACCCCAGCGTGGCTGTACCAGTTTGCTGATGGGGAGCACTCCTGGGCCATTTTAATTTTGCAGGCTGTGCCTGCAAATTGTTTGGGAAAGTGCTTGCTAGCCCAGGCCAAATCTCTGCCTGGACTGTTCTGACATAACCCAGAACTGCTCCCTGTCACTTTTAATTCTGTTGTATAGGTGGAGCTTATCTCTTTTCACTGTCCATCAGCTGATAAACAGCTGAATAGCAGCACCTCTGCTGATACCATACTACACGGCAAAGCTAACGTGCACTCCCCGACACAGTGCGTGAACTCCCTAAGCGTTCCGAAACGCTCCCCACACCACAGTCATCCTGGTATCGTTGGGAGTTAGCACTTTCTTTCCAAATCCCTAAGATACCAGCCCCCAAACACTTCCAGTCAGTTTTGCTGGGGGTACATATTGCTCCCCTTGGGATGCTCAGCAGAATGTGTTGAAAAGATGAAGCTTTCGTTAAGGTAGCCCCATCCCTGGCGGTGGGTTCTTTGCAGAGACAATTGCCATCAGTCCACAGTGACATCATCTTTAACATGTAAATGATCTTTAATATGTAACACAGCTTTCGGGCATGCCAGCCTGCTGCCTCTTCCGCAAGGTGGACTATGTTCTGAGGTCCAGAGCAAAGTCCTCAGCTGGTATAAATTGGCACCAGCTCCAGTGACTTGAAAGAATTTCAGGCCAGAAGGGATCACTGGATCATCTCATCCAATCAGCTGAATATAAATCTGCCAGTGACCCACTTACGCGTACACTGAGCCCAAAAGCTCTTGACATGAATAGATGTGTGACTTACGTGCACCGCTCCATTGAGAGGTGATGATCCGGTCTCCTGGAATTGCCGAAGGTTACATGAAAAGATTGAAACTGGTGTCTTTGGGTGAGCTCTGAGTGAGCCCAGGAAGGCTGCGTCCTACCCTATAGTGCCTTTCAGCAAAAGGGTCTGGTCACCAGGTGGTGGGTTGCCTACCTGGAGAAGTGTCACTGAGTAACGGGACTACGCAGATAGTAATGACAGAGTGAGCAGATTTGAAATGAGACTTTGAAAATACAGTTGTGGAGGGCTGACCCTGGCTGGGGGCCAGATGCCCACCAAAGCTGCTCTGTCATTGCCCTCCTCAGCTGGGCAGGGGAGAGAAAATACAAGGAAAGACTTGTGGCTCAGGATAAGGAAAGGGGGAGATCATTCACCAGTTATCGTCACAAGCAAAACAGATGAAGTTTGGGGGAAAAAAAGAGATTAATTTCTCATTAATCAGAACTAGAGTAAAAAGAGAACCAAACCCAAATCTTAACACACCTTCCCCCACCCCTCCCTTCTTCCTAGGCTCATGTTCACTCTCACATTTCTCTGCCTCCGAGCAGCGCAGGGCAACAGGGAATGGGGGTTGTGGTCAGTCCATCACACGCTGTCTCTGCTGCTCCCTCCTCCTCAAGGGAGAGTCCTCACACTCTGCCCCAGCTCCGGCATGGGGTCCCTCCCATGGGGGACTGTCCTCCATGAGCTTCTCCAATGTGAGTCCTTCCCACGAGCTGCATTCAGGAACTGCTCCAGCATGGGTCCCTCCCATGGGGTGCCGTCCTTCAGGAGCAGCTGCTCCAGCCTGGGTCCGCCCAGGTCACAAGTGCTGCAGCAAACCTGCTCCAGCCTGGGCTCCTCTCTCCATGGGCCACAGCTCCTGCCAGGAGCCTGCTCCAGTGTGAGCTGCCCACGGGGTCACAGCCTCCTTGGGGCATCCCTCTGCTCCAGTGTGGGGTCCTCCCTGGGCTGCAGGTGGGTCTCTGCTCCCTGTGACCCTCCATGGCTGAGGGCACAGCCGGCCTCACCATGGGCTGCACCACGGGATGCTGGGGAATCTCTGCTCCAGCCCCCGGAGCACCTCCTGCCCCTCCTTCTCCACTGACCTCAGGGTCTGCAGGGCTGTTGCTCTCACATCTCACTCTGTCTGCCAAGATCTACACTTCTGGTTTTTTTCCCTTCTTAACCACGTTATCCCAGAGCTGCTACCACTGTCGCTGACGGGCTCGGCCTTGGCCAGCGGAGGGTCCGTCTTGGAGCCGGCTGGCATTGGCCCCGTCCGACACTCGGGAGGCTTCCAGCCGCTTCTCACAGAAGCCACCTCTGTAGCCTCCCGCTACCAAAACCTCACCACGCAAACCCAATACCCAAATGAGGATGAAAATAGAGCGGACTGTACCCAAACTTTGTCTGGTTTCAAAGCCAGGCAGTACTTTGCAACATCTTTTTTGGTTCCTTATTACCAAGGAGTGAGGCAGAGTTTGGGAGGCAGGGTTCGTAAACCCCTGGGCACCTTTCATGTACACATATGTGTATTTTTAGAACCTTGTAACCTTACACCGATTTTCTGTATTATTTAGCCAGACGGAGGCCTGATAGTTGTGAAGGCAAAGACTTTCATCCTGGTTGCTACTTACAGAGTGGGCATGTATCCCAGCGTGTGCGTGGAAGCTGTGGAGAAACTGGGAGAGGGAAACGGTTGTAGCTGTGTGCCTGCATGCCAGCATTTTGTTGGTTAGCTCTGCCTTTGCAAACACTTTCAAAAATTCATCTGGTGAACTACCAAAGCCTGGAAATTGGGGAAACTGAACACAGTTAATCTTCACAGCTGAACTCTCTCTGATACCACATCCCACAGCCACCAGAGCTCTCTAAGGGCTTCAGACTTTCTCTAGAAAGCCTGGTCTCCAGAAGAAAGCTGGAGTCTCTTTTCCTACACGTGAATCTTGAGACATCAGGAAGCTAGTTTCCTTGTCTCACAGTAACAAAGCATCTCTCCTCTAACAAATATGCCCATTTCCTTCCCCCTCCTGCCCAAGTTTCCTTTGTGTGCGTCCTCTCAGCTCCCCTCTCTTGGGCTTGGTGTTTTAAAGACTTAGTGTTAACATCTCTTTGTTCCCCATTTGGGGACATCAAACCCCAGCCCTTTGCAGATCAGCTGCAGAGTCCTGATTTTGTCATTGTGTGAGATGCTGGAGAGGATTAACCACTTCACTGCAGCCCCAAATCTGTCCAGCTGGCTCAGTAATAAAATCAGGAATATTATTCAGTAATAAATTCATTTAAACTCAGTAATAAATTGCAAAAAATGCCCAACACTTGCAAAGTCCTGTAACAATCTGCACACAAGTTATTTCGTCTTGCCAACAGTGACGTTGTCCATAACTGGCCGCTGTTAAGGGTAAAGTCTAAGGTCTAAGTGTTTCCAGGGCCAGATCTGCAGCATGTTTAACAACGTGTATTTTCTGGGGTTTATTCATGCTATTCTGGGCGATTTATTTGCAAAAAAAGAAAAGGAGGTTGCTTTGCTACGCATGTTAGGCTGGAGGAGGCTTGGAGCCACCTGGTCTAGTGGAAGGTGAATCTGCCCCTGGCAGGGGGGTTGGAACTGGATGATCTTTAAGGTCCCTTCCAACCCAAACCATTCTGTGATTCTGTGATGTAGGTTTAAAATGCTCATTGTTTATTCTTTAGAAAAGATAATACCTCGTGCACATAAGTATTACTATTTTTGATTTTCATCTAGAAATACTGCTGTCTTATTTAGAGTACAGTAGTCTGAGGTGGATCTGAACTTGGAAAAAAGCATCTCCATTACATCAAATCTGTATGTGACTTTTCTCACTGTTGATTTTTTATATTATTTTAAGATTCCTTGTGTTGTTATAGCAGACTACTTCAGAGAGAAAGGTAGCTGAATCAGTAGAAAACTTGAACTTCTTCAACCTCAGGACTGCTCAGGAGGAAATAAAGTATGGAAGTTTGAAGCATTATCCAATTTAAGCCAGAAACTGCTGCTTTACCACATTCTGACTGCTGAGTCTCCTGTTTTTTCAAGAACACTGGTCTTGCTGCTGCTAAGAGGACCAGCCTATGAATCTATCACCTAAATTTCTTAACAGAACTGAAAGTGATGTCTTCAAGATTTGGTTTAAGATGCTTTGCCTAAGCTTTCTCCTGCTGCCTTTTAGCCTGTTGCTAGATTAAGAAAACTGTTAATGTCACTAAGCAAAGTAAGTTCTCTAACAGCATTACAGCTCTGCGTGACATCACAGACTCAGGGGACGTTATCACATTTTCAGGCTGTCCCGCACATCTTTGAATATTACAAATAAACCCCATTTTTAACGTGTCAGTCTGCATCGCCGTTGACTGCCATAGAGTTGTTTTAAACTGGACTGCAAGGTTCCATGAGGACTGGGGAGGAGGGCCAACGTCACTAGCGGGCTTGAATCGGACTGTTGGGTACTGTGAGACATCAGAGAATCCCCGTGTGAGTGAACCCGTTACGGCACAGGGGACAGCTGAGGCTCTGCCTGCAGTACCAGGTGAAGAGCAGTCTGGAGAAGAACAGGCTCTGGGATCTTTTCATCTGCAGAAACAAATCATTTACGAGCTCTTGGAGTCACATGAGAGCAAAAGAATGTTTAGCCTTATTTGTTTCTAAATTAATGTCATTTCAAAGAAGAGTTTAAAAGCCTGAATCCCAAAATCAATAGGAAAAAATGCACAGAATAATCTCACACATGGACAGACGTGATTTCTAATTTTTAAGTACTCTGAATTTTAACTTTTATTCCCTGACAACTCCCAGATACTCAAGAGCTGGTGGGTAGGACATTGAGAAAGGCATGACCTGAACCTTCCTCTTCTGGGGGAAACAGCAAAGCTCAACGGAGTGGTGTGCTCCGGTGGCTAAGGCATCAGGAATGCTCTGTGAACCAGTAAACTTTGAACGCTGCTGCCTTCCAGGAAAGGAAGCACAAGGAAGCCTCCGGAGGTGGATATGCAGCATGAGGACTGTCACAGCGTACGTGCTCTTAATGCAACTGGAGTAAACCCCGTCTGTGCTACGCGGGAGTCCAGAAATCACACCAGAGCTCCCGTCTCTGCCCGCTAACATACGGATACGCACAGGTCCTGCGGATCAGCACAGCAAAGGCATTCGACCAACCTCCCCATGTGCTGGGGGGAGCGGCAGATCTCCACCTCTGTGCCGGAGGGGAAAGTGGATTTCTGCCGCGACCCATGGAGCAAACCAGGTCAGTGGATGGGAATAATTTTGAGATGCACCAGTATTTCTGACTCTGCTCATGTCTGTCCCTCTGAAGTAAAACGCAACTCATCCGGTTCCACCCCTTGGTTTGCTGGGAAATAGCCGATTGCAAGGGCAGAGTTGGGAAAGGAGGAACTGGGATCAGTCTGTTACCGAGGGCAGGCTGAGTTGGCTCCCGCTGCTCCCTTGTTTAGGGGAAAAAGGTGAGTCACAAACCCTGCGCGGGGACCACGTAACCTCTTTAAATTGTTGTTCTGGGGCCCTGCTGGCGGAGCTGACAGTTTGACGTTGCTGTGCTTGGTTGGAAACTTGGGATTCAATTCCTGCGATTTTCTGTGGATTTGAAAGCAATGTAGGCGTTTGGATTCTCACTATTTTCTTTTTTTAATGATTTTTGTGGGTCTGCTCTAGCAACAAATCCAAGCTTTTATAACACTGCAGGATAATGGGCTGTGTTGGAAGAAGGGCAATTGCTTCTTTTACATCTTATTTTCGATTGACTAAGTCCAGACAGGTTAAGAGAGCAGAAGGATCGGTTGTGGGGTGGTATCTGGTGGGCTTCCCATTACATTTCTGTGCTATTACAGACAAATTTGGTGGGACTGGATTAAATGGTTCAGCTGAAAACAAAAACCTCAACAAATAGACAGCCAGCCTCTGAAAGAAAAGCCTTGAAGTTACATTGTAGATGAATATTGAAGTGTTTATTGGCCGTAAAATAGCCATAGAGCACCACCCTGTGGGGATTTACATTCCCGGGCTTCCAAGGTGTTTATCATCCCGCCTTTGCAGTCTTGCCCCAAATAATGAAAGGATGCACTTATCTTTTCCTGTGCAGATATCATAATGCAAGTGATTTTTACGGAGGGCACGGTGGTCTATCAGGCAATGCTGGTTACTTGAAAAGGCTCTGGCTCGCAGCTCACGCTGCCCATGTCTTTGGGCGGCAGCCCTGCGCTGTACAGTATTGCAGTCATTCCCATTGTGACTCTTTCTTTTTCCTCCTCTTCATCTCCTTCCACCCAGCGCCCAGGGGGCAGAGGGAAGACTGCTCCGGATTTGATATTGCCAGGCAGGAGGAGGCTTGGCATCTCAGCCCATCTCAACAGTTGATGGTGCCAAAAGCAAGGAACCCAGGAACAGTGTCTGAGGAGTTACTTGGAAGAATCCTGCAGCAGTGGGACCCCCTACCAGAGCAAGCTGGGCACACAGGAATCACCTGCTGTGGCAAGGGAAAGAAATAGTAATTATTACAAGCTTTTGTTATCTTCTGTTTGCACTAGATCGCAGTCATGCCTCTCTGCATCTTCAAGCTGACTTCTACAGGCTGAGTTACGAGGCAGCACTCTCCCATGATTTCAGATGGGTCAAATAATGGCTCTTACTGCTGAGGGTTTTAAAATCCTGTGTGTGCCTACTGTTTGAAGGGCCTGCATCCTTTAGTCAGTCCAGCACTAGAGCAGCATGCAGAAAGTTGAGAGCAAAGGGTGTTATTTTCATTTGTGTGTTACATCTTAAGGTTAAGGTTAAGCGCTGCTGGATCCGCACATTGGTCTGAGATTTTCCAGCAGCACACAAGTGTGCCTGCAGTCACGCCAGGTTCTTTGGGTTTGGTTTGTTTTCAGAGAAAATGTTGGCAGTCTGTTTTGATTGCCCAGGAGGCCCAGAAAACCTCTATGTGAAAGAAGTGATGAAACCACATCCAGGAGAAGGAGAAGTTCTTCTGAAGGTCTCAGCCAGCGCTCTGAATCGGGCCGATTTACTCCAGGTATGTGTATGTTAAGCAGATTTACGCACCTGAAAATGACACCAATTTTTCAAGCCTCTATCTTGACAAAGCTGAAGAGTTAAAAGAGCTTAGGCCTGGTGAGCATTTGTTGGGGCGAGTTCAAACAGCTGACAGAAGAGATGTCTGTTGATACAGCAGATAAATGTTTTTGTCCGGGTGACTGCAATGCTGGGGTGGCGTGAAAAGGCAGCTGCCTTTCAAGAAGAGACGTGAAAACAAAGCTCCAGTCTTTCCAGATGCTTAAACTATTCTCTGGGCATTTGAGATGAGCATGAAATGTTCCGCTGGTTCAGTTTCCAGAGGGGGAAAATCACATTCAAATTGTTAAGTGTGAGCTGCTGTGACCTGAGCTGAAAGCCACGCTCTGCAACTGCAGACCATAATACTTCCCCAGGGAAGTACAACAATGGGGGCTGGCAAGACACTGAATTTGCACACAGACTTTGAATAATAAAGCATACTTAGGTAACCAGGAGTGTTGCCAGAGGATAGAAGATACTAGAACATTTGCACCGTGCAAAATCAGGATTAAACAAATGGGAATTTAGGTTGGAAGCATGTGAACGAAATATTGGAGGTCATTACACTCATTGATGTGTGGCTTTTCCTTTCCTCCTCTCTCTTCTGTTTCAGAGGAGGGGGAAGTACCCTCCCCCCAAAGGAGCAAGCGATATTTTAGGCTTAGAAGCAGCCGGGACCGTGGCTGGGCTGGGACCTGGCTGCCAGGGCGGCTGGAAGGTTGGCGACACAGTGATGGCGCTGCTCTCCGGAGGTGGCCAGGCAGAATACGTTACCGTACCCGAAGGCTACCTGATGCCGGTTCCCAGTGGTATGACTTTCATTCAAGCTGCTGCCATTCCCGAAGCCTGGTTAACAGCCTTTCAGCTGCTGCATTTTGTAGGTGAGAGGTGTATTGTCCAAAACTGCTTGTCTTCCTTTTTTTCACAAAATTCTCTCTTTGTTGCCTCCATCTGAATGCTGTTGCCTTCTAAAGAGCCTTTTCTCCGTCGCTCCATTCACATGGGTCAGAATTCAGTATGCCAGGCCCAAATCCTGAGGTGTTTACCACATCACCTGAAGGGGTGATGGTGCCCTTCAGTACCTGAAGGGGCTACAAGGAAACTGGGGGGGACTTTTTACAAGGGCCTGTAGGGACAGGACAAGGGCTAACGGGTTTAAATTGAAAGTGGGGAGGTTTAGATTAGGTGTCAGGAAGAAATTCTTCATGGAGAGGGTAGTGAGGCACTAGAACAGGTTGCCCAGAGAAGCTGTGGATGCCCCATCCCTGGAAGTGTTCAAGGCCAGGCTGGATGAGGCTTGGAGCAACCTGGTCTAGTGGAAGGTGTCCCTGCCCATGGCAGGGGGGTTGGAACTGGGTGGGCTTTAAGGTCCCTTCCACCCCAAACCATTCTATGATTCTATGATCTCCCCTGTCCCTTACTCAGGTTCTCCTCAGGTGACATATAACCTTATCCTACCCTCTTCAGTAGTAGCATCTAAAGCTCCACTAGAGAACAGGAGTTAAAACTGCTCGAAATGTAGACTCACGTTGCTTCCTGGGATCTGTGGTCAATTAGGATGACATCTCCAGGACTACTCAGTGCCTCACTTCCAGGAGCAATCAGTGAAACGCAAACAAATGCATCCAGGCAACTGGGAAATGGTAAAATGAAGGTAGAACTGGTCCTTAATGTTACCCAGCGCTTCTGGCGTTTCTCCGTTGTGCCTGGTTTCTCAGTAGGAGCATCCTCCAAGTGTGTTTTCTGTTGGTGGCGGTGGACGGTCCTGCTGTAGGAAGGCTGACCGCACTCCCCTAAGCAGCTCGGTCATGGATGCCCCGAACTGGGCAGGGCCAAGCTAAAGCTGTTCCGCTGAAGTCAGTAAAACGCAGGCCTGTCGGTACACCGCGAGCTGTGTTAGCTGTGGATTTGTTTCTTTAATGAAGGCTGTGAAGATGTAAACAAAGCCCACTCAAGGGCATCTCCTTCAGCTTCCTCTTCAGTATTTTCCACCCTGATCATGTTTTAATCCAAAGGTGACGCCTAAAGTGCAACCATTTCCCTTACATCCTCCTTCAGGGAAAATACAGAAGGGCGAGAGCGTGCTGATCCACGCTGGAGCTAGCGGAGTTGGTACGGCTGCCATTCAGCTGGTGAGACTGGCAGAAGCTATTCCCATCGTGACAGCAGGGAGTCAGGAGAAACTGAAAGCAGCAGCAAGCGCCGGAGCAGCTGCGGGGTTCAACTACCAAAATGAAGATTTTAGTGAAAAGGTCTTGGCGTTCACCCAAGGTAAGAACCTCTGTGTGAGAGACAGTGTCACAGCTGAGGAGTGTGTTCCACCTAACGTGTAGAACATACACTCAGTTTCCACCGCCACCCCAGTCGCTGAAGGAGCAGAGTCATGACCCTGTTACCACAACCCAACACCCCGAGAATCTGCCTTTCCATAATTTGATCGTGCTCTGTCTTCCGCACGGACTCTCTTGGGCTTTGTGCTCATTCGGGACATAAATATCGTGCCTGTGTTACTGCTGCCTCCACAAGGAACCGTGGGACCAAATCCTTGCCCTTCTCTTTGTAAGGATTTGAATATGGCAACAAAACAGTTCTGTTACTGTTAGAAAAAGTTAGCTTTTCTAAGCATTCAGGGTGGTTTAGAGAATTGAGTTTGTTCAGCCTGGAGAAGAGAAAGCTCTGGGGAGACCTTATTGCAGCCTTCCAGTACCTGAAGAGGCTACACGGAAGCTGGGGGGGACTTTTTACGAGGGCCTGTAGTGACAGGACAAGGGGTAATGGGTTTAAATTGAAAGTGGGGCGGTTTAGATGAGGTATCAGGAAGAAGTTCTTCCCGGAGAGGGTGGGGAGGCACTGGCACAGGTTGCCCAGAGAAGCTGTGGATGCCCCATCCCTGGAAGTGGTCAAGGCCAGGCTGGATGAGGCTTGGAGCAACCTGGTCTAGTGGAAGGTGTCCCTGCCCATGGCAGGGGGGTTGGAACTAGATGGTCTTTAAGGTCCCTTCCAACTCAAACCATTCTGTGGTACTATGGTTTATGACACAGTCTGCATCTAGATACCTACAAGGATTCTTTGTGCCTGATGCTAGAATTCCTTACAAATCATGGTGCCAATTCCTAATTTCAGTAGGAAGATTTAAATCAGAATTCCTGATTCATTCTGTACCCATGAAGAACAAGGTTCCAGTTTTGCCTGAAAGTATCCTGCCTTTAATGCAGCTCGACTATGTTGCTGAAATCTTTTCTGTTTCTGCTTGAGGTGTGGGAGTAGATATTATTTTAGACTGTGTTGGTGGCTCTTACTGGGAGAAGAATCTCAACTGTCTGAGTACGGATGGCCGGTGGATTATTTACGGACTGCTGGGTGGAGGTGAAGTCCATGGAGACTGGCTTGCAAGGCTGCTTTCCAAAAGAGGGAGCATCCACACGAGTCTGTTACGATCACGAGACAAGGAGGCAAGTGATGGCTATCAACAGCACATACCGTTTGACCTTAAAATGGATGATAATTTTGAGAGCTTTCTTTTCATATCGGTGTTAAAGCAGAATCTACTGTGTTATTACCAAAAAAGCACCACCTTGAACTGGTACTACACACTTGGGAAAACATTGCAAAATTAAGTTATATTTTCCCTTGTCTATTTTCATCACATGCCTCCCTTTTACAACTATTGAATCAGAGGAACGATACCCAGGACTTCTTAAAGCACTGCACGAGCACCATAATCTAAAGATTTGGCCTACAAGAAAACAAAACTCAAGATCAGGCAATTTCATCGAGGGCGGGGGAGGGAAAAACTTCTGATAGATTATTTTTGTAAGTAGAGAGTGAGGCTCTTTGGATGTTCAGAAATTACCAAGAAAAAAAAAAATCCCTTTACGTGGAGAATTCTCAGATATTACAGTAAAAGCCAGTAGTGTAGAGCCCCAGGATAGAATCTGCCCATGGTCTAATACATAGTATTCTCAAGAATTTTATCAGTTTGAGTTTAAATGGTTCTCCACTGAGCTTATACCACTGGTTTCGTAGAATTTCATCCAATTTAAAGGTAATTGAAGTTTTCTTACAAACAATTGTAATTTACACCTGTCAGATGTTACATGTCATCTCCTGATGAGAATGTCAGAGTCTCCCTGAGAACTGTGCCCAGTTTCTATGCAGTGCTTAGAGATACCTCTGAGAATGGCGTGACCGGGAATAATCTTCAACATGCTTTCATTTCTTCTTCAGTACAAGGAACGGCTGGTGAAAGCCTTCACAGAAAACGCGCTGCCCTATTTTTCTGGAGTACCTTCCCCTTGCCTCCAACCGTTTGTCGACAGTGTTTACCCTCTGCAGGAGATTGCAGAGGCACACAGGATCATGGAAGGAAACAAGAATATTGGCAAAATTGTCATCGAAATGCCTGCCTCACCTTAAGGTGAGGCCTATGCCGAGGTTGTTTCAGGGACAGAATCATCAGGGCTGTCTGACAAGCAGAGAATCTGCCATTTCTGCTTCCAAACCCGGAACGATTTTGTATGGGAGGATGCCCAAAGGGAGTGGCAAGGCAGACCTTACAGGAGGTGTTTAATAAAAAGGTTGATGTTGCAGCACCAGTATCGTGCCTTGAACACATAACTGAGCAGCCCTGAGGAGAAGGACT